TCTTCCCGTTGTTCCGGTCTCGGCCACCATGCCCTGCAGAACACGTAAATCCGGATTAGAAAACATTTCTGATCTTGGGATAAGTTACTGCCACATGGTTTGACCGGCATTGCTAATTCCAGAAGTATAGTTGGGCTTCAAGCTTTCCCCTTATCCAGGCTTCTTTTTTTGGCTTTCCGTTAACAAAATCTAAAATTTTAGGCTCAGCAAAGACATTCTCATGATCCAAAAGGTGGAAGCAACAGTTTTCTCCACCATCTCACCTCCAGAATTAAGGCAAGAGAGAATCTGTCACTCACTTATCTCCTCATATAGGGGGTGCACATGCATCCACTGTACATCCACTCACCCCTCCACCTATATACCCTGCCCCAAACCAGTTTGGGAGATATCTCCACTGACATCTCAGCTGCCAATCAGAAAGGCCAATACTAGACTAGATAAACCAATAGTCTGGCCCAGCATTAGGTAGCTCCTCGTGTTCTCCTGGGTTATTAATGCTGCGGCTGTTCATGCACCCAGCTTTAGGAGTTTCCCTCCTGGGTTCCCTTTCAAAATTGAACGTCGGGACTTGTTCGTGCGCTATTCTCGGCCTCCCTCTGCTCCGCAACGTCCTCTTCCTTCCCTCGCCACAGGTTTTATTAAAGAAGACCGTCATTATCCGGAGAGAAAAGCTGGCGTCCCGAGGTCCACCAGCCCCGCGCCCCCTCCCGGTTCCTCCCCCAAACTGCCTCGGCCATGCTCTCCCTCTGGGAGCCGTCGCCCTCCCTCCTGCGAGCAGTCAGGGTAAAACGGGACAACCGCCTGCTCCGTCCTCCTCCCGCCCCCCCCACCCTCGCTTACACTGACCGACGGCGACGACGCCAGACACCAGCCAGCACCAGAATTCCAGCCACTTCCGCCTGGCAGCGCCGGAAGCGAACCCATGGCAACCAGCCGTCTCACCCACGCCCCGCCCTCCGCTGCTCTCCCTGAAACCGCGCCCCCTTCCTTCGAACGTAGTATACGAGCGGCGGCGGCGGGGGGGGGCTTCTTGCACAGGAGCCGCGCCCTCTCCCTCCTCCTCCCCTGTTTCTGATAGGGGAGATGAACCGTTCTTTTACTGGGACGGCCACGCCCACTCCCGGATCGTAGGCGTCTCCTCCTAATAAGCGTCTCCTCCTAATAGCGATGCTTCTCCTCCTCTCCGTTAACTTAACACCAATGTTTATATAATGACGTCAAAGCCATAACTGTTCGGTTCGTAGCCACGCCCTCTCTGCTTCGAGCGCTCCAATCTTCGCCCAGCGGCCTCATCAAGGCCACGCCCTCTTTTGTAACGCCTTTGCGCTCTTAGGTTGCGTCCGTGAGTCTCTCATGCCCCCTAGCGGCGGAGAATAACCGCTTGAAATTCGGTCGGGGTTGAAATGGGAAACGATCAGCCTCTAGAAGGCAGAAATGGGCAAGTAGTTGATGCCATTTTTGGCTTCTGCAGAAGTTTTCCCAGTTGCAATGTATGGCTGTGAAAGTTGGACCATAAGAAAGGCTGAGCACAAAAGAATGGAGGCCTTTGAACTATGGTGCTGGAGAAGACCCCTGCGAGTCCCCTGGACTGCAAGGCGATCAAACCGGTCAGTCCTAGAGGAGATCAACCCTGACTGCTCTTTAGAAGGCCAGATCCTGAAGTTGAAACTCAAATACTTTGTCCACCTAATGAGAAGGAAGGACTCACTGGAGAAGAGCCTAATGCTGGGAAAGATGGAGGGCAATAGAAGAAGGGGAGGACAGAGAATGAGGTGGATGGATGGGGGTCACTGAAGCAGTAGGTGTGAGCTTAAATCAGCGGTTCTCAACCTATGGGTCACAACCCCATTTGGGGTCAATCGACCATTTTACGGGGGTCGCCAAGCAAGGCTGTCCGCCATTTTTTTTGTCCGCCATTTTTTTCCCCTTTTCCGGCGGGTGCCTTACCTCCCTTGGCCTGGGCCAGCTGGTGGTCGGCCTGCTCCGTCTCTGCCGCTTGCCAGCTACGCCAGCGCAGGAGGCAGAACCACGCATGCGCGGCGCTCCCAGGCAGGGAAAGTCCTCGACTTACGACCGGTTGGGTAGTCCTCGACTTATGACCGGTTTAGTCCTCGACTTACGACCGGTTGGGGGTTGCGGCATTAAAAAGGTTGAGAACCACTGGCTTAAATGGACTCCAGAAGATGGTAGAGGACAGGAAGGCCTGGAGGAACGTTGTCCATGGGGTTGCGATGGGTTGGACACGACTTCGCAACTAACAACAACAAAAAGTTCAAAATAATGCAGATTAAAAACCCGTATATAAATCCAGTGTTTACAACTCTCTACCCTAAAACTTCCCCAATTAATTGATTGATTACATATCATCAAATCATTGTTGGCTCTTAGTGATCACATAGATTTCTCCATAATGAGCTGTCATCAACCTGGTCCTTCAGATTTTCCAATGGTGCTCTCATTGCCACTGTAACTGAATCATACATGTTTTCTTGGCTGTCCATGCTATTCTCAGGAGTCTTCTCCAATACCAAGGTTCAAAAGTAGATGTTTCCTATCCACCATTTCATTTCCGCAGTCACAGTGAGCACCATCTCTTGCACAGTTCTGAGCTTTGAAAGTATACAGATAGTCCTCGACTTACAACCGTTCATTTAGTGACTGTTCAAAGTTACAACAATAGCACTAGCAAATAGCATTTAGACTTACGTACTGTTTTACAACACTCTCTGGACAGCATTGAAAAAAGTGACTTAGGCCGTTTTTCACACTTAACAACCATAGAGCATTCCCACGGTCGCGTGATCAAAATTTGGATGTTTAGCAGCTAGCATGCATTTACGGTGACCCCTGCAACTTTCTGACAAGCAAAGTCAATGGGGAAATCAAATTCATTTAACAACCGTGTTAGTAACTTAACAACTGCAATGATTCACTTAACAACTGTGGCAAGACAGCTCATAAAATGGGACCAAACACAGTTAACAACTGTCTTGCTTAACACCAGAAATTTTGGGCTCAATTGTGATCGTAAGTTGAGGACTACCCATATATACATCATAGTATTAGAATATCTCTTCCAAGGCTTTCATGGCTGTTCTATCATGGCTAGTCTGTTTCTTTACTGCTTGTTTCTTTACTGCTAGTCTGTTTCTTTACTGATCCTTTGTTGTTGATGATTGATCCTAAAAGGCAGAAGTTATCCATCACTGGATGTCTTTCCTGTCAAAAATTGGGTTGCTGTGTCCCTTATGATAAACAAAACTTCTCTCATCAAAATTATTTGTTGCATGAAACTCAGTATTGTATTTTGTAAAGCAAGAATTGAGAGTGTGGCCCCAACGCTGCAGAAGGCTCCAATAGTCCCTCCCCATCTTTGTTGCCCCTTCCTGTCGGGGGAGTGGGCAGAGACAGGCAAATATTGACCTAGACTAGCTTTTTTCACATGCCTGTTGACTTGCCAGTTGGTAGTGCCTTTTTGCCCAGACTCTTGGTGGCTTAAAAAAATATGAAAAAGCCAAATGAATTTTCAATACTAATCAAATTGGGGAGAAAAAAAACCCTTATTTCTGGAATTTGCTGTTAAAAACAAAAGCCAGTATGACATTCTATCTTTCTTTCTCAAACTTTTTTTTTAATATATGAGCATATGCTTTAAATAAAATTAAACATTAACAAGAATGCCATTTTACCATCTTTGAAAACAAAGCATGCTGTGTGCTCATATATGAGAGAAAGCGTTGTTGTTGTTAGTTGCAAAGTCGTGTCCGACCCATCGCGACCCCATGGACAATGTTCCTCCAGGCCTTCCTGTCCTCTACCACCTTCTGGAGTCCATTTAAGCTCATGCCTACTGCTTCAGTGACTCCATCCAGCCACCTCATTCTCTGTCGTCCCCTTCTTCTATTGCCCTCCATCTTTCCCCGCATTAGGCTCTTCTCCAGAGAGTCCCTTCCTTCTCATTAGGTGGCCAAAGTATTTGAACACTTCAGGATCTGGCCTTCTAAAGGGCAGTCGGGGTTGATCACTTCTAGGACTGACTGATTTGAAAGCGTACAATGCTACTAAGATTCATTTTAATAAGCCATACGATTAAAAAAACTGTTCTCACTTTGCATTATGGAGCACATCCAGTTGCAGAGGTTGCCAATAAAAGCTCCTTAAAGTCTGCCAAGCACCAGCAAATTAGCCAACAGGGCAGTTTATCTGAATCCAAGATTGTTAAGCCAGAGACTTAAATGAGATCCAATAAAATCAAATAAAATACAGCATGTAGACGCCATACAAACTAAGCAGCAACAAAGCAGCCATCAAAGTAAGAGATAGTGTGAATTAATACCTAATTAGAATACAGCTGAATGCAATTGAAAAGCCTGGGAAAATAAAAAAAGATCTTTACCTGATGCCAAAATGATGCTAATATTGGTGCCAGTCATACCTGACAGGGTAAGGAATTCCAGAAATTACAGGCTTGTTATGGCTTCTGCTTATCGATTCTAGGGAATCCACTTAGAGCCAGACAGCATAGTAATGAATGAATTTGTAATGAATTAGTAACATTGGAGTGTGGGAGAATGGTGTGTTTCTAAAATGTAGAAAATATTGGAATTTAACTAATTAATTAGCCAGCAACAACCTTGTCTCAACCCACATACTATAATGAACTGGTGGATTTGAGTATGTTGAGAGAAGAACCTGTTGTGGGAGGATAGCACCTGCCCCCCCCCCGAGAAAGAAATATTTAGGAAATATTAAAAGGCAGAATATATTTCCCCAAATAATCTTAAAGGCAGAAAAGCAAGCCCAGTTTTTCTTAATAGCCCCAAGCAGAAACTAGGCAGAGGCCAGCTTTTAGAAATGCAGATGTGATAATCCTATTCAGAAAGGTTGGAGCCAGGAAGTTAGAAGCTGATGAGATTAGAAAGACAAAGACCCTTAAAATCTACATACCCCAACCAAACTCATGACCTTTAGGACATAATAGTATTAACCCACTACCATCAGAATACCAGAACGGCAGACTGAATCCCAGGTCGAATTTCATGCCACAGGAACAGGAAACAACCTCAAAAGCCCAAGAAGGTATAAAAACCCACCACTCCCTGCTATGTGTGGTCAGCTTTCCCAGAGCCATCTTTCTGTCTGGCTCTCCTCTTCAATAAACTACAACCTTCTTTCTAAAGCAGTCTCCATTTTGTTTATTACTGGCTTGGACTGGACCCTGATGAAGATTTTTCTTTCAACACTGTAGTAGCTCTTATGTAAGTGATGTGCTGATCCAAACTGAGAAGCGATGTGGCTCAACTTTCAGGGGAAGTAAGGTGAACTGAAGATGGCTCTGTGAAAGCAGAGAGGATGACTGTGGTGAAGATCAAGGAACCAGTGCAGTGAATAAACTAATTCTCTGGAAACTTTCTGGATAAGGAGAGGATTGGAGATTGCCCACATGTGCTCCAAATGGCTGTTCCTCATGAGGAGATTGCAGGACAATGATTTTATTTTGAATTTGAGTGCCAGAAGATGATAGAATCAGCCATCTTGCTCACAACCATGGCAAAGACTTTTAAAGGATATTGAATTTGTAAACCTCACTTTCTAAGCATTTTCAGAAATTGATTATTAACTATTCTAAAACTATTAGAGCCCTGTGGAACAACAGGCTTGAAAAATCTTCATGGGGATCATTTTTCTGCAATTCTGAACAAAAAATAAAGAATCACAAGCCTAAGAACTTAAAGAATGTGTAATAAACAGCAAATAGCTAAAGATTTTGATTTAAGAAAGTTATAAATGTATTAAGGTTCCATATACATTTGGTATATTGACTTTTACTATAAGAGATTGGAATAAATACAAAATAAACAACTTGTCATGGGAAACAGACTTATTTTGGCAACAAGCTGGCAATTGTAAGTCATGAAAAAAAGTAAGTGTTGATTTTAGAAACTGAACACTAGAAGAGACTAAAGATTTTAAGCAGAAGAGAATACACAGCTGATGACAGTTAATACTGTGACATAGAACAGGGGTCCCCAACCCCCAGTCTGCGGCCTACCAGAAACTGAGCCACGCAAACAAGCAAATCCCCATCTATGGGATGCAGGCAGCATGTGAAACCATGCCCCCTCCTGTCCGTGGAAAAACCTCTCTCCGTGGAACTAGTCCCTGGTGCCCAAAAGATTGGGGGCCGCTGACCTAGAATGATACAAAATGTTATAGCATCAGAAATATTAAAGGAAATCTTTGACGAATAGGACCAAAAGTTACAATATCAACATAAATCCCTTTTTAAATTTCATCCCCTTCTCTCCTTTAGCCACTGGGATAATGAAGTTTTCCATCTGGGTGGTTGTTAAAATAGTCCTTGATTGGTGGATTCTTTTGCTTTCTTTCCCCTCTCAACCTCACCAAGAAAACCTTTGGTGGAGAGATCCTTTGAAATCTGGTAGGAAAAAAAGAAGGATTTTGCAGCTCTTCCAGTCAGTGGGAAATTGCACTCAACTTCCATCATTTTTGATTATCCAACAAATTGATGGATCATTGAGCAAATCAACCCACTCAAGGCACCATCATCCAAGGGACACCCTCACATCCTACCACATCCACTGCTTCCCTGCTTAAAGGGTGGATCTCTACCAGGGATTTGCACAGTGGTGGAATTCAAATATGTGAACAACTGGTTCTCTGTGTGGATGCCGTTTTTGGAAGTCCATTCTGGGTCTGGGCAACAAAAAATTAGCTACTGGTTCTGCCGAATTTGCATTATAATAAGAATCCCACAAAGCTTGAAATAAGTGGGAGAAGGTTGTGGCAGATCCTGCATATGATTTCACAAATGTTGGAGTGGGGATGACACTGATAGCTGTATTGATAAGCAGATCATCAGGAAATAGAAAAATAAGACACATAGATAATCTGAGATCCCTGACTAAGCAGCTTCATGTATATGAAGATGGGATTGTTCAGAAGTGGGAAAAGGTCTTCCAGTTGGAAGAAACAGACTTTATTACCACCTGGTTATTGATGGTACAGGATTCTGCAATCTTTCTGAGAGAGGGCAGAACCCAATTGTCCTTCAACACACAATGCCAGAACACCTGAAGGTCTTGCAAGTTGGAGGGAACAAAGTATTCATGTCATGGTCATATGAAGATGTAAAAGTTCCTAAGATCCTCAGTGTAGAATCCAGGTGTTCCATGCCACACAGAAAGATGGAGCATATGAGTCCTACATACAACCTTTAGGAACTCAGGACTATCCAAGGACAGTTGGTATCTAGGCTCACAGAAGACTTTCAGGTTCTGACCAAAAAGTTGTCCTGCACAAGCTAAGTCAGGATATCAGTTAGAGAGGACAAGGTCTTGGTAGGATCATGGCTTCTGGGTAGGTCTGAAGCCTTCTCCACAAGGAAACACAAGAGTAATGTTGAGACAATAACAGACAGAGAGAAAGGAAGGAAGGATTGAAAGAAGGAGAGGGAGGGGGAAAGGGAGAGAGGGGAAGAAGGGGGAAAACAGGAAGAAAAGGAGAGAGGGAAAAGAGAGATAGGGATTGTGAGGGAGAGGGGGTAGAGAGAAAGAGAGGGGAAGAGAGAGAGGGAGACAAGGAGGAGGAGAGAGGCAGAGGGAGGGGGAGAGAGCAAACAAAAACCAGTTTTGGTGTAGTGTTGTGGTTTTCAACCTAGGCAGCTTTCAGATGTGGGAACCCCAACTTCCAGAATTCCCCAGCCAGCAGAGAAATTCCCCAGACATGTGTTTCTCTTCCTGGACATTTGGTAGCCCTCCCCAGGATGGATGGGACACATGTCCGACCAAGATCTTTGCTCATTCTGCTCCACCACCCTACAGTGTCTGTTTATGTCTCACCATTCCTGAATTGACTCTGCCCTTTTTCCTGATGCTGTTGAAGCCTGGAACACCACCTGAAGGCATGTTGCCTCTCACTTCTTTCAAGTCCTCTTCAGAAGTCACTCTTTCTGTGAAGTCTTTGGCACAATCCTTTCATCCATTCTGGAGGCTCACCAAAGAATTTGTGCATTCAATTAGATCCTGCCTGGGAGCAAATAGGGAAATCCAGTTGGAGACTACTAGGCTGGGAAACTGAAAAACCTCTGAAATAATGCGGTGGCAAACTACTTCCATCTTGTTGCCAAGAAAATAGCTTGAATGTATCCAAGAACTGCCCAGAGTCAAGTTTGACTTGAAAACTATTTTTTTTTCTAGCAAAAGGCACTTTGGGATATTGTTCCTTCTTTGGCTCCTCCCTGTTATGTGCTCCTAGCCACTTCCTTTGTGATCAGAGGCAAGCTTGTCTGCCCAATAACTAGCCAAGACACAATGAAGACCTCCCTGTTTCGTTTATTGCAACAAACGGGGAGAGAAGCTTATCAAAGTTTGGTTCTCTCCAAAGTTTATAATCTCAAATCAACATCTTTATACATTCCTTGCACTGACCGTCCATCCCGCTCATTCCCCATTGGCTGTGGCCCTATGAGGTTACATTCCCTCCAACTGTCTTCTACATATTTCCTGTTACCTTCCCGAACATACTAAATCATACATTGCATCTGCATTATAATTAGCAATAGTCTATTGAGCATGCTTTTTAGCTTGTTTTTGAGTTCTGGGATATTTTATGATTTCTTAGAAGAGTAGATTCTTTCCTGTTATTTAGTTTTAGTTTTGCTTTTCCTGTTATCCAATTCTTTTAGTTTTGCCTTTAAGCTAGCTATTTCCTCTTGCAATTTTAATTTTTTTTTACAATATTAAATTTTAAAGACCATTCGCTTAATCCTATCATCCCCATTTTGTTTCTCTTTTTTATCATTTTAATTTTTACCTACATTGAATGTAGGTGGAGCTTTCCTCTTGTTCTTTGTAAAGTCTTAACTCACCTTCCTCCTCCTATTTTCCCCACAATAACAGTCCTGGGTGGTTGAAAAATTGGGCTGAGAGACAGTGACTGGCCCAAGGTCACCCAGCAGGCATTCATGGCTAGGGAAAAACTAGAACTCACTGTCTCCTAGTTTCTAGCCTAGTGCCTTAACAGTGGTTAAGATAAAAGCACTATTCAAACAAAGTTTGCTGCTGACTGTAAGACCCTATTTATAAAGTTACAAAGTTTATAAAGGTATAAATCCCTATTTAAGAAGTTACCAGGCCTGTAATTATTTCTGTTGGATTCTTAGTGACATCCTTAGTGTCAACACTACCCTGAGCCCAGTTTGGTCAAACTCAGTTCAAAATAGATCTAGGTAAAATTCTGGGAGATAAAATTTGCAAAAGCTTCATGAACCTCTGAAGAATTGCTGAGGTGGGTAGGATTATCCCCACTTTCTTCCTTTTGCACATGATTATGTACCTTTAGGGTTGCATGATGGACACCAATTTATTAGGTGAGTTTTCTCCTCTTCATTGCCTCTCTTTCCAGTTCATTTTCTGCCTGCCATGAACCTATAAAATGCAGAGGAGGAGTACTAGAAAATGCATGGAGTGGTGATTCTCAGAATACGATTCCCCAGTCTGGTGCTCTGCAGATATGTGCTACTCTAGCTCAACAGTCCCAACTTTTTTGGCACCAGGGACCAGTTTCGCGGAAGACAATTTTCCCATGGACCAGAGTTGGGGAGGAGGACTGTGCAACCTAGATCCCTTGCATGTGCAGTTTACAGTAGGGTTTGCACTCTTATGAGAATCTAATGCCTGGTAATCTGAGGTAGAGCTGTGATGCTAGTACTGGGGAGCAGCTGCAAATACAGATGAAGCTTCACTTACTCGTCCGCCACTCACCTCTAGCTGTATAGCCCAGTTCCTAACAGGTCACGGGCCAGTACCGATTCGTAGCACGGGGGTTGGGGACCCCTGCTCTAGACTGAATTCCAAGCTAGTGTTATTTTGTTGGATTCCTGGAGTTGAGATCCTAATGTATCTAGAGAGTACCACCTTAGGGAAGGATCTCTGAGGGATTACAGTCTCTCATTAACGTTTTTTGAAAACACATCGTAGTTAGCCACTGTGTGTAAATTCATTTGGGATTTATCAATAAACTTTCTGCCATTAAAAGTTTGAAGATATATTTTCATGGTTTTATAATTGTCAATAACTATCAGTGTTAATATAAAACAGAGTCCTCTTTGGGTACAATTTACCAGCAGAGAAAAAACTAATGGGAGTCATTGTGCCATTTAAAACAATGAGATGTAATGATGACCTCAACTGGGGATCAGACCTCCTTGGATGATACTTCTCTCCTTACTCATTCAAATGTTCTATGAACACAAATCGCCCAAAAAAGAAACAGCTCAGGAAATTCCACATAGGCCTATACCAGTGATGGCGAACCTTTTAGAGACGGAGTGCCCAAAAACTGGCCCCGCCCCCACTCCACCCTCTGCCCCGCCCCTGCTCCACCCCCATCCCCTGCCCCGCCTGCCCGCAGGGCCAATCACCACCTCCAGGGCCTGCTGCAGATTGCCCAGGCAGCCCAGCAGTGCTATGGCGGCCACACCCTCTGCCCCTGCCCTGCAGCATCAGCTGTGCACAATGGGGTGTGAGGGCAGAGTCTTGTCTATGCTGCCTGGCTGCCATGTCCTTGGCTGCACTGCTCCATGTGGGCCATGCTCAGGGGTGACTCTCCTTCAGGGGGGCTGCTGGAGAGGAGGGGGTCCTAGGGGGAGGCGAGGCTGGGGCAACGGCACATGTGCCCACAGACAGGGCTCTGAGTGCCACCTCTGGCACCTGTGCCATAGGTTCGCCACCACTGGCCTATACCATTTCAGATAACCTTCAGATAAGGTTATCCACTTGTTTGATCCAACAGTGAAGCAAGTCCAAGAAGACAGCGGTATATGTGGCATCTGTTCCATTCCCTGGTTTCTGGTCTCTGGAATTCCTGCATTTTTCATCTCATTGCTTCTGTTAATTAGACTAATGAATCTGGAGATGTATATCTTCAATATGCTTGTCTACCAGCTCAGAATTTTCCTTTTCTTGTGAGTCTGGGAAGATTGTGGCAATCTTGAGCCAATCAAAACTGGAATTATGGACTTCCGGTTTCTGCACGCAGCGAAGCAGTTGAGGGATTTGGGATTCCGAGCCCTCCAACTGAGTTTCTTCCTCTTAGGGGACCCTAAATGGGCCAGAAGCCTCCCCGGAGAGGTGGCAATGAAGGAAGGAAGTCCCAGGGACCTAGGAGAGATGGCGGTTGACCCGATCGGTCCAGGAGAAGCCTTCCAGAAACCAACAGAAAGACTGGCTTAACTTCAGAGTCCAGCCCAAGCTGCAAGCAATGGAAGTCAAAAGCACTATTTTAAGCTGATCATAAACAGTGTGCTTGAATCTGGGTAAGAACATTGATTTTCTCTATCCTACCTACTTTCCTGAAGGGGAGAAACTCCCAAGAAGCAAAAAAAAAAAAAAAAAAACCAACCCTCCAAGAGTGAAGGAAGGGGTGTTTCCCCTCACCCTTTTGCTACTGGAAGCAGTGAATCTAACCTTTCATGAAAGAATAAAATCTGAAAAATGAACCAGTGCTGACACCTACTGGTGGATGAGGATTATGACAGTCATGGTAAAATTGGGGGGGGGGAACTAATCTTTGTCTGTGACCTTCAAAGCTAACAAATAAAGAACAGCTGTGTAGATAAAGTGAGACTTACAAACATGAGGGAATAAAAACAAAACAAAACCAAAAAAAGAACTCTCTTTTTTAAATTCTCTGGACTATAAGTATTTATTCAATTCTGACTCCAAAGCTATTTCCAAGGGGGGGGGGGAATCTGAACTTTTGGTCATCATGGAAAATCAGAGATTTATAGGAAATACTTATCAAGAAAAAATGAATATTTTTCAAGAGGAGATATATGTTAAGCTGCAACTAATTCAAAGAACAATGATCTCAAATCACAAAGAAACTCAGAATAACTTTGAAAATATAAATCAAATCATTTCCAATTCAATTTTATACCAAAAAAACCCCCTCAGGAAAATACAGCAGAGAAGGAACAGACAAAACAGATGACTGAACATAAATTCGAGGATAGAGACTTGAAGATGGAATTCTACAAAACAAAGGAGTATGATCTAATCCAAGTGGAAATTTTTTACAAGAAATACTAGATTTGGAAAAGACAACTTATATTTCAACACTACAAAATAAACTTGAGGACAAGAAAAAAGACTGGATAAAACGTTCTACAAAGATATCAGGAAAAACACCAGAACTAAAGAGACAAAAAGCTACAAGAGAAGCAGAGAGAAAAAGAAGGAAAAAGATTCCTAATAAATATGGAGTGGGCAAATGCTCCTAACAAAGATACTGATTTACTTTTTAAATCTACAGCAAAATTTGTGAACATATGGAAAAATCTTTTGATTCAGCAAAATACATTGATTAAGAAAGATACTGGGCAAAGGAAAAAGATTAAGGTGGAAACCAAGAAAATAGATGAAGGGACTTATCAGAGAGAATACTTAAAAAAGAAACATTTGCTTGAATATGGTTAAAGAAATAGAAAAAAATTGGAATATACTATTCTAAGAGGGATGAATTCTCTAAACAATATAGTATGCTTTTTCCTCTTTTGTGTTCTTTTTCTTGATATGAGTAATATAAAAAAGTTGAAATGATTTACATAAAGGAAATGTTTCAGATACTTAAATGTGACTGAATTTAAGAAAATTATAAAAAAATGTTTTGAATAAGAGTCAAAGGATTCGATGACTAGATGTGTTGAATGGAATGTTTAAAGATTAAAGATTAAATATATTCTTAATTATGGTTAAAAATAATAAGAAATTAAGGAAATAAATATATATTAGCCTAGGAGGGATATATATTTTAAGTAGTATGTTATTTCTTTATGTTTCTTTACTCTTGTTTTCCTTTCTTTTCCTTTTTTCTTTCCTTTTCATTGTTTTATCTATTTCTTAAAAAATGTAAAAGTGTGAGATGGCTTATATGGAAAAAATAGAGTTAAAATTGTAAATGTAAATGTAATTAATTTTTGAGAAAATCTTCACCAGTAAGAATATCTAGAATTTGGTGGGAGAAGTAAACTGAAGTAAGGATTGTAACAGGATCTATGAAAAGGCAACCAGAATGATTGAATAGAAAAGAAATGTTAATATGATTATTATTTTTAGGAATATTGGGAAAAAATTATACATTCAATTGTTACTTATCAAAACAATAAGAATTGTATTAACTCAATGTTTGCAAAAGAGGTTACTTTGTGGAAAGAGGAAATCAACTAAAATTAATATGTGGAATATGGATTATAGAAATTAATTGTTAATGATTGTTTTATAAATGTAACCCAGAAAACACACTGTTTACCAATTATTGAGTGATTTATGTTTTTTTTTTTTTAAAAAAAAATCAATAAAATATATTAAAAAAACAAAAACAAAAATGGAATTAGGGTGGATGGGAGCTACCAAGTAACAATTTATTCCAGGCATGAAAGAAATTATGGTGGTCAACAAGAAAATCAGTGTCAGATCTGGAGTACTGTCTGTTTTGAACCAGTTCACTTCATTCTTCTGAGCGTGGACCTGGCATTGCTTCTGAATTTCTGGCAACTGCCGCCAGAACAGCTTTTCCAGTGCTTCAGCTAGTGAACCATTTACATCTTTTTTGGGGTTATGAACTGAGGCTTTCTACAAAATCAGTTATCTTTGGATCTTGAACACCAACCTATTATTAAACAGGTCCATGTGTTCTGGAAGCTCCAAAATGCAACTATCATTAATAACCCATCAATACCATTGATTAAATAATCATTTTGCGGGCGGCGACTGTTTTAAGAGGACTGAGATGGCAAGATGAGAAACAAACGGTTGAAAAATGTTAACAAAGCCTGATGCAGATGCCCTCTATGTTCAAAACTGAGAAACAAGAGAAATTAGTTGGCAGGTGAAACAGACCTCAAAGTCGAAGCATGTTAGATTTTGCAGTAATTCATTTCAGCTGAAATAATAAAAGTGGCTTCTTTTATTGAAGCTTCAAATAAAAGCAACTTCTTTGTCCAGGTGTTGTTGAAATGTTTAGCTCTAGATCTGAATACCTAAAAAGAGATATATTGCACACAGATTTGAATTCCTAAAGAGAGATATATTGTGAAGGAGTGAGACTTTTAATATAATTTGACTCCTTGACTTATTCTAAAAATGATACAAAACAGAAAGAAAATGTTCAAAAGTTTGTACGAAAAAGAGTATACTAACAACAACATTGTGCATTTGTTAAAAGTATTGGTCTTGTTCTGCTAAGTAAAGTTGTGACCTTCATTAGTCATTGACCTTCATTATTGATCATCTTTATTCTTGATCTTTATGATTCTTTGAATGGCTTTATGTACCTCTTTGTTCCTCAGAGTGTAGATCAGTGGATTAAGCATGGTGTTGACAAAGGTATAGAAGAGGGAAATAATCTTTCCTTGGTCACGGGAATAGTTGGACGGAGATCGGAGATAACCACAAATACCTGAGCCATAGAAGAGTGACACCACCATCAAGTGGGAGGCACAGGTGTTGAAGGCCTTCCGCTTCCCTTCAGCTGAACGGATCCTCAGTACAGCAGCAGCAATGTAGCTGTAAGAGATTGCTATGAGACCCAGAGGTAGTAGAAGGATCACCACACTTGAGACAAAGAGCTCTGCCTCATTAACAGAGGTGTCCACGCAGGCCAATTTGATCAAGGCTGGTACCTCACAGAAAAAGTTGTCTATCTGGTTCTGTCCACAACGTGGAAGACTAAGGGTCATGACTGTCTGTACTACTGAATTGCTGAAGCCACTTCCCCATGAGATAGCAGCCATTGTGAAACACAGAGAATGGCTCATAATGGTAGTATAACGCAGTGGATGACAGATGGCGGCATAGCGATCATAGGCCATGACAGCCAACAGAACACACTCCGTGGAGCCCAGAGCAAGAGAGATGTATAACTCAGCCACGCAGGCACCATACGTGATAGTCTTGCTTTTTCTCCAGAAGTTCACCAACATATGCGGCCCAAGACTGGTGGTAAGACAAATATCAAGAAAGGAAAGGTTGCTGAGGAAGAAATACATAGGGGTATGGAGATGGGGATCTAATCTTGATACCACAATGATGGTTGTGTTGCCAAACAGGATCATCATGTAGCAGGTCAGAACAAGTCCAAAGAGCACCATCTCCAAATATGGGCGGTCAGCCATTCCCAATAATATGAATTCTCCTTGATAGTTTTCTTTCCATGATGCATTTCTGTAGAACATCTGCTTAAAAAACAAAGCAAAACAATAACAGAGTTGGAAGGGACCTTGGAGGTCTTCTACTCCAACCCTCTGCTCAAACAAGAGACCCTACACCATTTCAGACAAATGGCTGTCCAATCTCTTCTTAAAAATCTCCAGTGATGGAGGACCCACAACTTTTGCAAGCAAGCTGTAACATTGGTTAAATGTTCTCACTGTCAGGAAATTTCTTCTTAGTTCTGGGTATGTTATCTCTTTAACAAGTTTCCAATCATTGCTTCTTGTTCTGTTTTCAGGTGCTTTGGAGAATAGGTTGACCCCCTCTTCTCTGTGGCAGCCCCTCTAAAATTGGAACACTGCTATCAGGTCACCCCTAATCCTTCTTCTCACCAGATTAGACATACCAATTCCTGCAACCGTTCTTCATATGTTTTAGCCTCCAGTCTCCTAATCCTCTTTGTTACTATTCTCTGCACTCTTTTTAGAGTCTCAACATCTTTTTGATTCAATGGTGACCAAAATTGGATGCAATATTCCAAATGTGGTCTTACCAAAGCATTATAAAAAGGCAAGATACATGAGGGTATGGAGATGGGGATCTAACCATGGTTGCGTTGCCCAATAGGGTCATCATGTAGCAGGTCAGAACAAGGCCAAAGAGCAGCATCTCCAACTAAGGGCGGTCAGCCACACCCAATAAGATGAATTCTCGGTAGCTTTGGCTATTTTCTTTCCATGATGCATTTTAGCACATCTGTTTAAAAAACAAAGCAAAACAGTATGCATGAAAATATACCAAAGCATTATAAAATGGCAAGATCACTTCATGGGATCTTGATTCTATACCTCTGCTAATGCAGGCTAGGACAATACACATGAAAATAAATAGATCACCAGCACAATGCCTTGGTCAGGCCACACTTGAAATACTGCATCCAGTTTTGGTCACCACGATGTAAAAAAGATGTTGAGACTCTAGAAAGAGTACAGAGAAGATCAACCAATGTGATTAGGGGACTGGAGGCTAAAGCATATGAGGAACGGCTGCTGGAATTGGGTATGCCTAGTTTAATGAAGAGAAGGACGAGGGGGGACATGATAGCAGGGTTCCAATATCTCAGGGGCTGCCACAAAGAAGAGGAAGTCAAGCTATTCTCCAAAGTGCCTGAAGGTAGGACAAGAAGCAACGGGTGAAAACTGAGCAAAGAAAGAAGTAACCTAGAACTAAGGAGAAATTTCCTGACAGTTAGAACAATTAACCAGTGGAACAACCTGCCTCCAGAAGTGGTGAATGTTCCAACACTGAAAGTTTTTAAGAAGAGACTGGACAGCCATTTGTCCAAAATGGTATAGGGTTTCCTGCCTGAGCAGGGGGTTGGACTAGATGACCTCCAAGGTCCCTTCCAACTTTATTATTATTATTATTATTATTATTATTATTATTATTATTATTATTATTATTATTATTATTATCATCATCATCTTCATCATCATCATCATTATTATTATCATTATTACAACATGGAAGGCTATAAACAAGTGATATAGAAAGAATTGTGGCTTGACTGAGCAGCAAATATAGCTTGGGACATGAATCTATGATCCAGAATTATAGTTAACCTTGTTCCTAGCTAACTCGGTCTTTTAGCTCTTGAATCCTCAGTAAATTTCTATGTGAAAAGAGAATACAGTAAATATGATTTTGCTACCCAGATATTTGGACAGAATTCCTTGTACAGGATTGAAGAAAATACTTTTCTTTTTACACATCTGTCTATCTTGATTAAGTTCAGCTCTGGATAGATGGAAGCCTCCAACACTACAGATTACAGTGAGCATCTCTGGGGCAAAATAAGAAGAAGAAGAGACTCCTGGGCTATCCCTGAACTGTGAAAGAGAGGAAGAGAAGCAAGCAAGCAATACAAAAAAAAAAAGATGCAGACTAATGTGGTTGGGAAGAAGACTGCAGCAAAAATGATGGGAAAATGGGAACTGAAGAGCTTGCTGGGAACACATGCAAGAGAAAACAATTGATCCAATGTATTGAATTAATGAATAATTACAACTTTGTGCATCTCCATCAGTGTTAAGGTCTTCATTATGTTATTCGGTAGCCAGATGCAAGATTTTATGTCCTATTAGCAGCACAGACACTTTTTACACAATATGTGAGGGATAGAATCAAGATCACGTGAAGTGTTAATACCACTTTACAATGCCTTGGTAAGGCCACACTTGGAATACTGCATCCAGTTTTGGTCACCACGATGTAAAAAAATGCTGAGACTCTAGAAAGAGTACAGAGAAGAGCAACAAAGATGATTAGGGGCCTGGAGGCTAAAACATATAAGGAACGGTGGCTGGAATTGGGTATGTCTAGTTTAATGAAGAGAAGGATGAGGGGGGACATGATAGCAGGGTTCCAATATCTCAGGGTCTGCCACAAAGAAGAGGGAGTCAAGCTATTCTCCAAAGCGCCTGAAGGCAGGACAAGAAGCAATGGATGGAAACTAACCAAAGAGAGAAGCAACCTAGAACTAAGGAGAAACTTCCTGACAGTTAGAACAATCAACCAGTGGAACAACCTGGCTCCAGAAGCGGTGAATGCTCCAACACTGGAAGTTTATTCTTTTATTCAATAAACTATTTTGTTGTTGCTGGAGGTAGAGTATTTGTGACTGTTGTGCCCTTCATTTGGACTTCAAAGAATAGAGTCCACCAATTAAACCTGATTACCGGGGGACAAGATTTAAGCCACTGTCCAAACATGGGAATGATCTGATCATGTTAGATTCCTATCTGTTGTTTACACTGGCTTCTTCTTGTATTTCATTCCTTATTTTAATGTGTATAGAAAATGAACGGGGAAACATCGTGGGAAGAAAGTAACCAAAGCTGCCAAGAATGATTCTGTGTGACGTCACCCCGCCCCCCAAGAAAGAAATATTTTGGGGACTATTTAAAGGGCAGAATATTATATTTCCCCAAAGGAATAATGGAAAATCTTAGGCAGGACCTCCCCACCAAGTCTCTCTGCCCCAAGCAGAAACCAGGTCTGTAGAAATGCAGATGTGATAATCCTATTCAGAAAGGTTGGAGCCAGAAAGCTAGAAGTTGATGAAATTAGAAAGACAAAGACAACTAAAATCCATATACCCCATCCAAACTCTAATAACATGACCTTTGGGACATAATAGGATTAATCCACCACCATTAGAATACCAGAAAGGCACACTGAGCCTTAGGTCAAAGTTCATGCCACAGGAACAACTCCAAACACAAAAGCCCAAGAAGGTATAAAAACCCACCACTCCCAGCTCCATGTGGTCAGCTTTCCCAGACCCTCATTTCTGTCTGGCTTTGCTCTTCAATAAACTACAACCTTCTTTCTAAAGCAATCCCCATTTTGTTTATTCCTGGCTTGGACTGGACCCTGATGAAGTTTTTTCTTTCAACAATTCTTTTTTATTTTTAATGTACCTGAATTAAAGGTTTCAATTTTATTAAAACAAAAAACAAAATCTAGAAACGAGCTGAAAAGGAGATGGAATGAAATGAAGTACAGTGTTACACGAGAGAAAAAGGACAAGAGAGTCAAGAAAAATATAAAAGAAAATGGAACAGAAGAAGATGGAAAGCAGGAGATACATGTAGGCAAAGGCTGAGAAGGTCTAAAAGATTAGTGACATCTGTGTAATGGTACTCTTGAATGTAAGAGGGAAAATATAGCATTGTCCCCTACTACTCACTCTATCAGTTCCTCTTCTGATCAGCCTCTTTAATTCAGCCTTGGTTATTCTGGTTCAACACTGCATCCCAAGGTATCAGCTGTGACTATGTGGAGGGTCTTGTGCTGCAGAAAGTAAGGACTGTTTGTGTGGGTGTCAGCATGTAGAAGGAAGCTGTTATCTTCTTATTATCTGCTGCATTCTGAAGAAAAATCTTGAAGAATCCTAGACTCCGATCCAACACTAATTAGGAGAGAGTTAATGATTGCAGCCATGTATTTCCCCTCCCCAAAAGGCTTTCCACCCTTGAGTAACATCCTCTGAAGTGGTGCTGTGCAGAGGAGATATACAGGGAAGGGCTAATTAGTACTTTAAGTAAGATGAAAGTTTTTAAAGTTTTTAAAAGTTTTATCATTATTTATTATCCAAGCAATATAAAAAGCCATTTGAGGAGGAGAGAAAGGGCCTCTCTCTGAGTTTTGGATTTTCATCAGCAGGGTACAGCCACAATTGTATTTGTATTTGTAAATGTCCCTTTGAATTATTAAAAGATCAACCAATTTCACTTGTACAGTATATCCAGGATAACATCTTTATATATATATATCACCCTTGTCGCTTGTAATTTTTAAATAAATATTCAAGTCAATCTCAGTTTTGTCTGTTAGAGCTTGTTCCTCTCCTGTAACACCACCTATCTATGATGACAGATATGCTTAAAATGAACTTCTCCATTCATTGTTCACACGTCTTTCAAAAGCACAATGTTAAAGTGTTTTGCTTCATTCTGTCTTAACAAGTTGACTATAATTCTTCTTCTCCTTTAATCTTTAGTATTGTCTAGTTCTGTCTAGTGTCCATTAAAGTCTCATCCTATTATTTCCCCCCCTAAGGAATCCAAACAACAACAATATCCCATTAAAAGGATTCTTATAATTAATTTATTAATTTCAAATCCATCCAGATACTTAGTCCATTTTTAATTTTTCCAAACCAAGACTCTTTTGCTGCTTATTCCCAAAAGTAAAAAAAATTCTAAGGCCTTAAATTGAAAAATAGAGTACTGTACAATGGAACAAATTCGTAAATTTGTTATCCCATTTGATAATAATGATAATGATAATAATGATAATAATGATAATAATAATAATAATAATAATAATAATAATAATAATAATAATAATAATAATAATAATAATAATAATAATAATAAAGTTGGAAGGGACCTTGGAGGTCATCTAGTCCAACCCCCTGCTCAGGCAGGAAACCCTATACCATTTTGGACAAATGGTTGTCCAGTCTCTTCTTAAAAACCTCCAGTGTTGGAGCATTCACGGCTTCTGGAGGCAGGTTGTTCCACTGGTTAATTGTTCTAACAGTCAGGAAGTTTCTCCTTAGTTCTAGGTTGCTTCTCTCTTAATTTCATTAAGAGATTTTTTTATTTTTTATTAACCTTCACTAAACTTCACCATAACATTCCTTCAAAATGTACTAAATTGGCATGGTATATGATAATGAATCCTTTTCACTTGAAAACATCTTTGATCACCTCTTTGCCACATCCAAAATTCGGGTTGTAGAGTATATATTAACTTGACAGATAAACCTACATATAAGTAAGATTTCAGGACAGTAGTGACTTAGTTTATTATTTATCACCAATGGTAGCTTGCTTTGCTTGTTGATTTATTTCTCTCTGTCTCCTTTTAATGATTTTAATTTGTATTACCCAATTCTTTTAAAGTTACTTTACTGAAAGTTACCCTAGATTTAATAGAGATATTTTAGAAAATTGATATAAATATATATAATAATGTTGTACGGTTTTAATGGTGTACCTCTGACTAAGGTGACCCTGAGGTCACAGATAAAATCCCATGTAACCATAGTGGTTCTCAGGGAACAGTTGATTGCAAAGAAACCCCCCCACACACAAACAATTTTTCCATTTCCATTGCTCCCCTCCATCATCCTGTCAGAACCTCCCATTCCCCCTCCTACCAACTAATCTCAACAGTCTTTCCACCTCCCACAGCATCCAATACAACTGATGAAGCTTCCAGGAGAAGAAGTGGTATGAGTCAATCTCAGTGGGGTGAGATGGTCCCTCAGGTAACATGGACCATACCATGACAGGCTTGTAAGGTGATCACCAATACCTTGAATTGCACCCACAAGCAGACTGATAACCAATGCAGCTCATGAAGCAGTGGTGTTACAGGGGCCATTCTTGGGGGCCCCAAAACTGCCTGTGTGCTGCACTCTGGACTAGCTGTAGCTTCCGAATGCTCTTCACAATTAGCCCCATGTAGAATACATTACAATAGCCCAGCCATGAGATGACCAGGGACTGAAAGACTGAGTGCAGGGAGTCCTGATCCAGGAAAGGCCGCAACTGGTGCACAACACAAAGTTGTGCAAAGGCTCTCCTAGCCATGACCGACACCTGTTTCTTGAACAGGAGTCATGAGTCCAGGAGAACCCCACATTTTGGACCGGGTCTTTCTGGGGGAGTGCCACCCCATCTAGAGTGAAAGATGACAAAGTCCCAGATCTTGCATCCCCAAAGCCATTCGGTCTTGACAGGGTTCAGTCAAAGCCTGTTGTCCCCCATCCAGTCCCCCACAGCTCCAGTCATTGCAAGAGAGCGGCCACAGCATCACTTGGGTCACCTATGGAAATGTTAGTTCTTCCTCATTACTCTCTGGACAGCTATGTATATCTCTTTGTTCCTCAATGGATAGATCAGTGGATTGGTCTTGCTTTTTCTCCACAAATTCACATGAATGTAGGACCCAACACTGATGATATAACAAAGATGTCAACTGTCCAGTTGGCATTTCCAGAAAAAGAAACTCCTGGGACATGATTTTACCAAGACTATAATACTTTACTGAAATTTTACATTGGTACAGAAGAAGCGAAAACAGCCCTGGTTTTCCCACTCAAAAGATTATTTAATTAAACAATAGATTCCCTCGCTCCAACCCACTGGGTCTTCATATTGTCCAGTAGTAATACTTCTTCTTGTTATGGGAAAAGTCCACTTCTCCATCGAGCACCTGCATTAGTGACCTTGGCGTTATCAGCACTAAGCTGTCAAAGACACCTCGGTTGCCTAGATACCATCCCTCCCATCTTTGCATGCCAAAATCTTGTCAAGCTATGAGCAAGGGAGAAAATGAAGGTGAAAGAGTGAATCAGTCTTGACAGAAAAGAAAATTAGGTGTGTCTACGAAGGATGAAAAAAAAATCACAATGCAGACAGGATTCGGCCTAACAAAAGCCGCAATGCAGTCAGAATTTGCTGGGGTGGAATAATATCAGTTCAATTTCTCTCTAAACGAACACAGCAGGAATTTCGGAAGATGCCTTTTTCATAAGGGAACAAATCCTCAAGAGACAATGATGACACGAGATGAAAGTGTGTTATCTACAACAAACTAACAAAACACTTCAGAAAATAAGTTCCGACAGGCAGTTTGGGCACTTTGTATACTCTTTAATTTACAGTCTTGTGCACTGCTGTGGTATCTAGATACGTTACGGTTTTATTATGGAAAAAAAAAGAGAGAAAGGAAAGTACAATGCAAACTACTGGAAGAATAACAAAGATTATTCCTGTTGAACGTTCAGATGCAGCTTCCAATTATGTGTTTATTTCTCCTTTGCTAGTCTTTGAGGAGCTTTATGTACCTCTTTGTTCCTCAGAGTGTAGATCAGTGGATTAAGCACGGTGGTGACAAAGGCATAGAAGAGGGAAAACATCTTGCCTTTTTTCACTTTTTAATTTACAGTCTGTGTACTACTATGAAAACTAGAGGTGTTATGTGTTTATTATGAAAAGAGAGAGAGAAAACAAAATAAAATGAAAACTACTGGAAGAATAACATAAAGAGTATTGCTGTTGAACCTTCAAATGCAGCTTCGAATCGTGTTTATTTCTTCTTCATTAGTCTTTGGAGAGCTTTATGTACGTCTTTGTTCCTCAGAGTGTAGATCAGTGGATTAAGCATGGTGGTGACAAAGGTATAGAAGAGGGAAATCACCTTGCCTTCATCACGGGAGGAGGTGGAACGAGGCAGCAGATAACTAAAGGTGGCTGTGCCATAGAAGAGCCAGACCACCATCAAGTGGGAGGAACAAGTGTTGAAGGCCCTCTTCCTGCCCTCAGCCGAAGGGATCCTAATCACTGCAGCTGCTATATAGCCATAAGAGATTGTGATGAGACTAACGGGTGCTAGAAGAAACACAACACTACCAGAAAGCATCAAAGCTTCATTAAGGGAAGTGTCAACACAAGCCAGTTTAAGAAAGGCAGGGAGCTCACAAAAGAAATGATCTACCCGATTCCGTCCACACAATGGAAGCCTAAGAATCATCACTGTATGAACTAGTGAGACACTGAAGCCACTTATCCAGGAGACAGCAGCCATTGTAAAACACAGAGAGTGGCTCATAATGGTAGTGTAGCGCAGTGGATGGCAGATGGCGGCATAGCGATCATAAGCCATGGCAGCCAACAAAATACACTCTGTGGAGCCCAGAGCAAGGGAGATGTATAGCTCAGCCACACAGGCACCATAAGTGATAGTCTTACTTGTTCTCCAGAAGTTCACCAGCATCTGTGGCCCAAGACTGGTGGTGAAGCAGAGGTCAAGGAAGGAAAGGTTGCTGAGGAAGAAATACATGGGGGTATGGAGGCCTGGATCTAGTCTCGATACCATGATGATGGTTGTGTTGCCTAGGAGGGTCATCAAGTAGCAGGCCAGGACAAGGGCAAACAGCAACATCTCCAAGTGTGGCCGGTCAGCCACTCCCAGCAAGATGAATTCTTGGTAGCTTTGGTTACTCTTGTCCCACAAGATTTCCCTGTTCATTGTCTATACACATTGAAACACACAAGGAATCCAGTTCAAACTATTGACAGCAATCCAGCATGATTGATTGATTCACACATTAGAAGTGCTGATTGAATGTTGTGTCCAGATATCTAGGTGAAGCTTAATTAGTAAACTCTATGAAAATGATTGGAGGTCCATATCCATTGGCACTGCTTTCTCACCTTGATGACCACAAAGAAGTAATTGTGTATGGATAGCAATCTAGAGGTTTACCTCAACTATGATTTTTTGCCAACTTCCCAGTCTTTATCTAAAAGATTGATAATATAAGGTCATTCCTTTTGTACCTCTTGTCCAACTCTCCTAATAGGATGTAGTTAGCTAGATGCTAAGCTTTCCCTTTTCATACAATGAATTTCCTGTGCAAAAAAATTCTTTTTTTTCTAGTGATACAAAACCTGCTCCCCTAATCATTGTTCAGTGAGATAGCCACTGCCACAAATACCTATTCCTCCACTAACCCCTAAAAACCTATTATATCTGTGAATGTAAAGCAGAATCCTACTGTGTGAGAAGTGAATGTGCTAATTATAGGGCAGAAAACTTTGCACCACTGGGCAGTATAATACAATTAATAGTTTTTGAAACTCTGTTTTGACATATCTGTCATAACTAAGAGGCTGAAAGGAGCCACACCTATAGCAGAAACCACATGTAATCAATATAAATTATTATCAATATAAATCAATATCAGTATAAACACTGCCCACAGTCCACCAGAATCCCTTTTCTAGCCCCAGAATGGGTAGGGTCAAAAGTTTTGGCTATGATTTTTAAAGGATATTTTAAAAGATAAGGTTCAAACTACTGCCTCAAATCATTGATATTATAGATGGGTTCCCTCGTCATATAATCAGTGGCTTAAAGTAAGAGTTTGCCTCTGATATTTAGAAAAAGCACTTACAATTAAAATATAAATAGGGCAACATTGACCTAATTTGTGAATGCAAAAAGTGCATCAATGAAGATGAAGGATGTTTATTTCATCCTCACTATTTGCATGTTTCTGGCAGATGCTGTTTTGCCTTTAAATGATCATCCTGATTGTGTACATTCCCTGACTGTATAAAAGATTATAGTCATATTTAGATCAGAATCTTCTTTGGAAAAAACTTCCTCCAATCAGGACAATTAGGGACGATACAGTATGTCCTCTGCTCCTCTCATGGACACAGTCTGTGAATTCCCAGATACTTAGACTCCTATCACAATACGGAGCAGTGCTAAGCTTATTAGGGGCAGGACTAAAAGGAATGGCAAGATTGATTGACTTGGGTGTCCAATTTTGTACAATAGGGCTGAGCTTTCTTGTGATGGCAGAAGGTCAAAATCCTAAGCCTCACCCTGACCCTGGGTCAACAGCCATATGCAATCTAGAGTGATGGAGGTTGCCCAGCCTGTTTTTAAACTGAGGGCGAGTAAGGATGAATGCCCTAATTAATCAACTGGTTGATTGATAATATACCATCAAGGTGTTCTTAGTGATCACATACATTTTCTCCATGACATGTTACAAAACTCCTTTCTTTAAAGGGTTGAGAGATAACCTGGAAGAAGATGTAACAAGCCAGGGGAGGAAATCCTTTCCAGCCAGTTCAGATGATTCTAAGACTGCAAACAAACAAACTTATATAACAGGGAACAGAGGTAGATTTGATTACTTATAAAATATCTGCCTTTTGTTCAGCAAAGGAAAGGGAACTGCATGGACATGAAGCTCAATTCTGAAGGACATGGGCAAATCGCAGCATCCCCTAGATTTGATTAGGATTTCAGGCGTTAAATATACTAAGATTCTGTGACTCAACCACCTGCTTCATTTCCATCATCATTTCCAAGACGTCGTCACCTGTCTTGCACAAGTAGGTTTTCCAGAAGCTTCCTTACGGTTTCTATATAACAAGGAAAAAAGATGTCTCAATTAAGTCTGTTCTGCTGGATCCCTTCCCCACCCTGCAACACGTTTGTTCCTTTATTCAGGTATTCCTTTATTTATTACATTTATCTCTCACTGAAATCTGCAGACTCTGAGGTTTGAACAAAACACTTCCTGAAATGCTCCTTGCAGAATAAATGAAAATTTCAGGAAACCAGGCGATAAAATGTCATCTCCTACTTCATAAACAGTGGTGGGATTCAGCCGGTTCGCACCACTTCGGCAGAACCGGTAGCTAATTTTTTTGTTGCCCAGGCCCAGAATGGACTTCCGGAAGCAGCATCCACACAGAGAACCAGTTGTTCGCATATTTGAATCCCACCACTGATCATAAATATCTCACGCACAAGGAATTAGGAAAGAGCTTCAGAAGATGGACAGCCAGGTACAACAGAAGATCAAGTTTCTACAGATTTAACAGTGAAGGAATTTCAGCAGATACTGTATCAAAGAAAGAGACATAACTGAAGCAAAATTCAGTGTTCAAGAGATGAGAAATGAAAGAACACTCCAGTCCATCTCCCCCTCCCGTCCTTTTCTCTTGACCCTCCAGCAGCCTTGCCGGTCTACTTAAAATCTACTTTTCTCTCTTTCACACTATTTATCAATTATAAGGTGACCAATCGTCCTCCTTTAGGGAGGACAGTCCTTCTTTTGTACTCATTTAAATAATAATTAATAGGCATGTAAGCATAATTACAATATAAAATGTTATTGTTACAAATGTTTTTTATTATGCATTTATCATATTATAGTGTATTCTGTATTGTTGCAATGAATAACATGTTTTATTTACGATATTTTTTTCTTCAATTTATTTGTGTCCTCCTTCTCATTGTAAAAAAGTTGGTCAGCTTATGAATTAGATTCGTATCCCACCTTCCACTCAGAGCCATTGTATGTGGTGCCTGTTCTTCCTTTCTTTCCCACAAGAAGCACCCAGTGAAATAACAGACACACACACACATGATCCCAGGTAATATTTTTCATACAGGTAAATTCCCTACCCCATGAATTATAGTTTAATATTTGTGAAGTCAACTTTACCAGGCATAAATCTTACTGACTTTATGCTTTTCAGCAAATTGCATATTAATTCTCAGATCACCACCATCAATCCAGCACACTTAAATGAAAGAACAAAAGGCAGATAGATGAATCTAGGCAATTGGTGGGAAACACTGGAAAGATATTCATTAGGAAGGGATTACAGATCGGATAGGTACGAGTCAGTTGTGATCAAAATCTAATTAACTTTTCAGTTTGTCCTTTTCCATTTTGACATTAATGTATAATTTTAGAAATAAAAAATTGACCTTCAATTTGAATATTTCTTAGCATATATATTTTTGTGCATATTTACTATGTACAATGTTTTCCACAATATAATTTTTACTATGCAGATTTTTTTGAAATATATATTCCTATACATATGTCCCCTAAAATTGATAATTATTTATTGGTCTCTGTGTGCATCTATATCGATGCTTAACTAGATTGTGGGTTTTATTGTTTAGCTGCATTCCAGTTTGCATCTAAGCTGGGAACTATATATTGCCCAATTTTGTATTAAAATTCAAATCAAATTAATTTCTTATTTCTAGCACTAATATCAGTAAAGATTGTAAAGAAAAAAGTCCATTAAAAAGTGATATTTTACAATGAACAGATACATTTAAAAATCACATTAACACCTTGGAGCAGAGTCTAGAAGAGTTAAGACCTAGGAGAAATTTATTATAGCTTCAGCTGACCTTTGGTGAAGTCAGCTATAAGCAATGAAAAGCTAGGTTACAGTATATTTCATGATCAACATCCACTCATTTCTAGAAAATATTCAAATGTTCTAAAATAAAGAAATTTTATGCTTCATAATTAAAAAAGGAGCACACATCATAGATGATCAGACAGATGAAATAGATAGATGATAGATAGATAGATAGATAGATAGATAGATAGATAGATAGATAGATAGATAGATAGATAGATAGATAGATAGATAGATAGAATCAGTGTTTCTCAGCCTTGACAATTTTAAGGCATGTGGACTTCAACTCCCAGAATTCCACAGCCAGCATTGCTGGCTGTGGAATTCTGGGAGTTGAAGTCCACATGCCTTAAAATTGTCAAGGTTGAGAAACACTGAGATAGATAGATAGATAGATAGATAGATAGATAGATAGATAGATAGATAGATAGATAGATAGATAGATAGATAGATAGACAGACAGACAGACAGACAGACAGATAGACAGACAGACAGACAGATAGAACATGTAATCTTCTCCTTTACTGTAACATATATACATGTATGTGTGTGTGTGTGTGTGTGTTCACATGTGTGCGTATTACATAAGTAACTATAGCTCCATTCTCCAATCTCACCTGTGTCTGGATAAGAGAAATTTGCTACCTCTTGGATCATCTGGATGCGTTGACTTGGATGATCTTGGATGCCTGTATGATCTCATCTAAGAATCCCTAATTGTGACTCTTTTTCTACTTCTTATGAAGAATCAGCCTCAACTCAAGGAGCAGTTGATATATTTTTCAGGTCAAAATAGTTCCCACTGGAGCATCTCTGAATGGACCTTTCTACTCAGGAGACTAGAGGTTGAGCTGAAAAGTGGGGAGACAGATTGTTGGGGAAGGGAAACTCCCTAAAAAGAGAACAGAAAGAGATACTGATGAAACTGGATGCAAGCTAATAGAAATATTTAGATAGAAACAGAGGAAGAAAGAACTGAAAAGGGTTGTCAGGAATGAAGGTTGAGGCAATGAGCAACATGAAAATAGACTGAATAGCCCATAGAGCCCAACAAGGCTTAATCTCAAGCAAATGGAGATAGCATTGTAGCAATAATTTCAGGACCGTTTTTGACTTGATCCTATAGGGAAAGAAAGCTAAAAGCAAAGTTCAATGCATCTTTCTGTTTAAAGAAAAAAAAGAGAGAGAAAATACACTGGAGAGACAATAATAAGCAAGAAGGGGAAAACTTGCAAGTTGAACATTTGGAGTGTTGAATAGGAATAGGGCAAC